GCTAGTTCTATTCCTGACATTCTCCAATATAATACTAACGATTTATCTATATTTCTGTCATTTATTGCTACTGAGTAATTAGCACTTATTATAAATTAAAATTTTTGGTATATGAGGTTACCTTTTACCGCACTTATTATACTTTTTTCTATGGGTTGTATAATTCTATCATCTGCCAAGTATATTTCTATGGGTGTATCTATTCCTTCTCTAAAACATGCTTTTATTAGTATTTCTGTTCCTCCTAAATGTACATATTTAATTGGATTTTTAGCCTTAATATCTTGTATTTCTTTATTTATTATTCGTTTATTTATTATTGGTATTTTGGCCTTTCCTTTAGTGTATTTGCAATCTATGACATGTTCTCTTTGACTTACTACATAATATTCTTCTTTTTGTCGTTTAAACCAGTTTCTTATTGTTGGTATTTCGAATATTTTTGCTACGCTTAGGTCTAGTTCTTTTCCTTTTATTTGTTCAAATATACTATTATCAAATATTATTTTCTGTTCTAAATATTCTTCGTCTTGATGTTCTTCTTTATTTATTGTTTGTATATCTACTTCAATCATTTTGTTATATTATAGAATTCATTAACTGATTCTATTTCTATGTCATTATCTATTTCGTTTTCCGATAATTCATATATACTATCATTGCTTTCTAATTCATAATCTACGTATTCTATTTGTGTATATTTTACATCGTCTATTATTATTTCTGATATTTGTTTTTTCTTTGGATTTTTAGGTAATTTACAATCTCTAGCTATATGTCCTAATTTTCCACAATTATAACAAGTACATTCCGTTAGTTTTCTTTTTGGTCTATATGGTCTTTTAGTTTTGTCATTTTTTACATAGTACCTTCTTCTTGGTTTTTTATATTTATATTTTGATCTGTATTTTTTATTATATTTTTTTTTATTTTTATAATATCTATCCGTACAACCAAATTGAGGTGCTGTTTTATTTTTGCAACATGCTAAATTTTTTACTAATATTTTTTCCATTTTTATTTCTTCTTTATATTTTTCACATAGTTCCATAAACTATCGTTGCAAGAATTTTATTCTAGCTCCTAAGTATCTGTTAATTCTGCTTCATTCCAACTTTTTATTACTTTTGAATTAAAAGGTTCTAGTAATTTTGTAAAATATAATTTTCTTATTTCTTTACTTTCTTCTATGCTATATGTTCCTTTATAATAGTACTCTCTAAATGCACATGTATATTCATCTATGTAACACATATTACATATTGCTAATTTTGTCATTAGATTCCGATTTATGATTTTTCTTTATTTTGTTCTTCTACCTCTGTTGTCATACTACTAAATTCATTTCTTATAGCTATTTCGTATTTATATAATATTTCCATGGTTGTAGTGGTTATTCCACCATCAAATTTTTTATTATTTCTTAAAGTTGTTAAGCTTTCATTTGTTAAATTTTGTAGCCATAATTTTACTGTTCCTATAAGTGTTCTTTCTATGTATCCTGGTGCCTCTGCTATTACTATCTTGTTATCTATTTAATTGTTTTGATATGTATTCTACCCATAATTGGATTGTTTTATTTATGTCTACTACACAGTCTAAATCTAAAAATTCATGTTGTCCAGTTATTGGTTTAGGCGTCCATTTTTTATTTAATCTTTTATCCCATGTAGTTTTTTCTTCATCATATTGTTCATAATTTTCATTATAATATTTTGGATTAAAATTTTTTGGGTTTTTTATTCCTGATGTGCTAGGTTTTTAGTCCATGTCTACGTCTTCTGTATTTACTTCTAAATTCCTTGTATTATCTATGTTTGCTAAAAGTTCCGTATATGTTTCGCTTGTTTCCGAATGTTGTTCTAGATCATCATCGTTTATTTCATCAACTCTTAATTCGGGTAGATTATCTTGGTTATTTTCTTCTTTTTCTCCTAATTCATCTTGTAATTGCAATTTTTCTTTAAATTTAATTATCTCATTTGCTAATTTTGTTATTTGTTCTTTTTCTTTTTGTTTAATTTCATACATTTCTTTTAATATTGCTAGCTCTTTTTCTAGCTCTATTAATTTAGTATTTTTTACTTCTTCTAATTGTTGTACTTCCTTTTTTGCTTGTTGTTTTATTTTTTCAATTTCCGTTCTTCTATCTATTTCTTCATTTTCTTTTGTTATTCTTACCATAGCAGTTAAACTATCTTCTAGTTTTACCGTTTCTTTTTCTAACATTAAACTTATATTGTCACCTATTTTCTTATATCTTCTTCCTAGATTGGAAAATATTATCTTTATTTTTAATCCGTCATAGTTTTCATATGTTTTTTCATCTATTGCGTATTCTTCTTTATTCATTTATAAGTTGTGTTGTAGTTTATATTCTAAGCTGTCTATTTGCATTTGTAGGTAAAAAATAGTCTTCCTCTGTGCTACTATAGATTTTTTACAAATTCCTGCAAATATATTATTGTTAAGTCTGTTTTATTTGGAAAATATATTTTGACTGGTTTAGAGTCGCCACTTAATTTTTAAGAAAAATCAAGAAAACTATTGTTTTCAAAAGACTAAAACAGTAAATCTATTGAAAACTATTAAGGGGGTTCGAGGTTCCTATTAATATCCTAAGAAGGTTTTTAAAGCACCTAGAATATCCGCTAATGCGGTTATCCGACAACTAATTTATTTGGCTAAAATAATTTTAACTTAGCTTGACTTGCAAAATTGAACTATTTTGTTAGTTGAGACCATTTTAATAGAAAAATAATAAAATATTATCTAAGTGAAGTATTTCATAAACTTATTTATTTATTTTTTAAATCAAGTGAAAAAGGAGTAATTTGGTTAAGCGGTTAATTCAAAATGGATGTCTTTTGGGGATTTTGAAGTTTCGAGACCTTAATATTAATTTTTAACAAATAAGCACATAATAGCAGTTAAATAGATAGGGAAAGAGAATTTGGGCCCAAATCTGGTTTTCCTGTCCGCCTGGACCAGTATTTGGGCCTATTTTCACTTTTTAGGCCTTCGGCCCAATTCTTGCCCATTCTTTGCACCTGTCCTAAACTAACGAGGAAAATATATGATTTTCTTTGGGCCGAAGGCCCAATTTTCCCACCTGTCCTAAATTCTAACAAGAATATTAACAAATAAAATGACGAGGGCTTAGGCCCAAAATAACAAAATACATCTCTCTGAAATTAAGAGTGGGCCTTTGGCCCAATTTTTTCACTTTCTCGATCTATCGCGCTTTTCCACCTTCGAGACCTGTTCGTCGATTTTTATAGGCCTGTTGACTCGATAAGGGAATTTGAGCCTTTATGGCTCTCTCGAAATGCGAAGAAGGAAAATGGGAGTTCAAAAGAGACTCGGAGCAAATTTCACATGTGGCAAAAAATGAGAATAGAAATTAGCATTCATCAAGCAACAACCTCAAAATCTATTAGCAAATATCTAGCAGCAAAGAAAGCTAAACAAATGCCAACTAAAATCCTGTCCAGTTATTTGAATATCTCAATCAAATTTGCACACTAGCATGAAAACAAGAACATAGATAATTTAACATATCCTCAAGAGAAGATAAGAGTAAGATATAAGAATATGCATATCAAGTAATATCGAACTATGGCTAATCAACCATTTACACTTGTCTTAGCAAGCGACCGAAATGATAGTCAGAAACTACAATAAATAAATGTATAGAGAAGCAATACTTTAGATTCTAAAATAATCAGAAAAGCTGTAAACTAGATATTCATTTTTTGCATGCAAGGTCCGGACAATGAATCACAATAACTATAGAGTCAAAAGAAGGAGTAAGTCCATTTATGAGCTTTTAATTTAAATGAGTAAGTAATATGCCCATATGAATCACAGTAAATCAAATCCCGAAGCAATTCTAAGGTTGAAACAAAGACATCAAGAATAAAGCTATTCTTCTAAACTTAGCTAAACGGGGAAAGGAGGATCCAAATTTTATAAAGTTCTTTCTACAGAGAAGCAACAGGGATACTAAACTTCAGACATGCACCACAACATACTTCCCTTTTCGATTAAAACCGAACAAAGACCATAAGGATATTAAGTTATGACGATGGAAATAGAATGTAGACACAAATTTTGAAACGACACACTCATCCGAAAGACTCAAACAACGACTAAGACCAGGCAAATTGGCCCCGAGTAAACCCGAAAACATTAAGCAGATAACACTAGATGGTCAAGACAAAACTGGAAACAACAGGCCAATAACGACATAAAATTCTCAAATCAAATAGCTCTTGAATATGCTCTTGTGAAAACAACATTAACAACAAAAGACCAAGACTTGGTCGACTTCAGGGACACCATTAGCCGAACGACAAACAAGGAACTAATTTTGTCTTTGAAAGGATTCAGCGTTTCAAGCACCACAAAGGATGAACAGTAATCAAATCAAGGCGACACGACGTTAAATATGCATATCTATGCCTCAGCGGACAATCAACAACGATATTTCGGCCTGAAATGAGAAGCCTCAGTTAAACCCATTAACAGGAAGTACAGACGGCTAGAGGCTTGAACAGGAAAAACTGAGATTAGAGAGTTTTACCTTTTTTCGGGCAGCGAACCGGACAAACGAGCTAGAGTGAGCAGCGACTTTCACGCAAATATGTGGCACAAACAAGGAAGTTTTTTAGAAAGCACTGGCAGCGAATTAGTATAAAGCACTTTAGATTAGGACCGAATATCTTCTCTGCCCTCTTAATCCATTTAGTGTGTATTTCGACTATTTTTTTTTTGCTCTAGCTGTTTAGGTATTTTTTGTTCAAAGAAAAATTCTCACCCGCAAGCAAAGACAACAAAATTTATATATATAGAAGAAGAACTAGGGCAGATTTTGGGGGGAATCCGGGTGAAAAAATCGGATTCCGAAGCCCATTTCAAAAATTCGAATTCAAAAATCCTTTCACCATTTCGGTTAAACACCTTTTTCCTTGAGGTTTCGCCCCATTCCGGAAGAGGAAATGGGGCAGACGCATGCTTCTGCCACTGTACGATTTGAGGGGAGAAGACAGAGGAAACGTAGCAGACTGCTTTCCGTCTATGTCCGTTTGAAATCGCTTGAAAAAATCAACGTCGTTGTTGCTTTCCGTTTGATCACTGTTATCGTCTGGAAAGTTGCTCTGTTTTGGTTTCTATCTGCTGATGAAGGTTGCTTCTGGAAATTTCATGTTGGGTCCTCTTTTGGACAAGGATTTGGGCCGGGTCAAAGGTTATTGGGCTGGTTTGGATGGGTCGGTTGGAATGAAAAGTGTGGGCTGCTGTAACTAGGAATTAGGATTAGAAAAATGGGAAATCTTGGTGGGCTGGAACGTGAATGGGGTTGGGGATTTAGGTTGATTGAGATAAAAAGGGCCCAATCATTGTTGCTGTTAGTTTGTCAACATTTGGAGACCTCTAAATTAATATGGAAAAAGTATTACACGATGAGTTGGCCAAACTTGAGATAAAACGAATTAATACAAATTAATCAATGAGCTTCTTAATTCTAACGAAATAAAATAATTAGCGCAATGAACTAATGACTAAAAATATAAATTACTAATTTAGATAAAATTAATTTAACAAAGTATTTAAGTAAAACTAAAATCTTTTTGAGACCCTTTTCGAATATTTATAAAAAATGCACCAATTATATACGTAACACGTATATTATTTAAAAATTATAAATAAGTGATAAACTATTTAAAATGACTTGAAAATATTTTTATCTTATTTTATATTTATTTATTTATTATTATTATTATAAATTTTCTAAAACTAATTATTTGAAATCATTTGAAGTTAAAAAGCTCGATGATTAATCTATATTGTGGAGGTCCAAAATTGGGTGTCAACAAAGTCTATTTTGCCTATGTTCTAATTCTTGTCGTTTTTCTATAATTATTTCATTAAGTTTTTGTCTATATTCGTTATTCTTGTTATTCATTGTATTTTTAAATATTGAATATATTTATATTCTATTTTAGATATATTATTTATTAATTGATCTAATTTTTCATTATCAATCTTTGTGATATTAAGTTGTTTATATTCCGGATGATGTGTGGGATGACTTGAGAAATCTATAAAGATTAGAAAATTAAGAAAAATAAGAAGAAAATTAATTGATCTAATTGATCTAATGAAAACTATAAAGAGTGGGATGACTTGAGAAATCTTTTTGTACAAGGAGATGTAGGAAGTAAGATCATTGTGACGACACGTAAGGAGAATGTTGCCTTGATGATGGGTTGTGGCGCAATCAACGTAGGGACTCTGTCTAGTGAAGTTTCTTGGGATCTATTCAAGCGGCATTCATTTGAAAATAGGGATCCTGAGGAACATCCAGAACTTGAAGAGGTTGGAATACAAATTGCACACAAGTGCAAAGGATTGCCTTTAGCTCTAAAGGCACTTGCTGGTATTTTACGCTCCAAATCAGAGGTGGATGAGTGGAGAGACATTTTATGAAGTGAAATATGGGAGCTGCATAGTTGTTTGAATGGAATCTTACCAGCGTTGATGTTGAGCTACAATGATCTTTGTCCACAATTGAAGCGGTGTTTTGCTTTTTGTGCAATATATCCGAAAGATTATCTATTTTGCAAAGAACAAGTTATTCACCTGTGGATTGCTAATGGTCTTGTACAACAGTTGCATTCAGCTAACCATTACTTTCTCGAGTTGAGATCGAGATCATTGTTTGAAAAGGTCCGAGAGTCTTCTGAATGGAATCCGGGGGAATTCTTAATGCATGACCTTGTCAATGATTTGGCCCAAATTGCATCTTCAAATCTGTGTATCAGGTTGGAAGAGAACCAAGGATCTCATATGTTGGAACAAAGTCGGCACATGTCCTATTCAATGGAAGAAGGTGACTTCGAAAAGTTGAAACCCTTGTACAAATTGGAGCAGCTGAGGACATTGCTTACCATCAATATCCAGCAGCATTCATACTGTTTAAGCAAGAGGGTTCTGCATGACATATTGCCAACACTAACATCTTTGAGGGCATTATCATTGTCTCATTATAAGATTGAGGAGTTGCCAAATGACTTGTTTATTAAATTAAAGCACCTAAGGTTTTTGGACCTTTCTTGGACAAAGATAAAAAAGTTGCCAGATTCAATTTGTCTACTGTACAACTTAGAGACACTTCTCTTGTCAAATTGTAGTTATCTTGAGGAGCTACCTCTGCATATGGAAAAATTGATCAACTTGTGTCACCTTGACATTAGCGAAGCTTATTTGACGACACCCCTACATCTAAGCAAGTTGAAAAGTCTCCATGTGCTAGTGGGAGCCAATTTTATTCTAAGTGGTCGTAGTGGTTCGAGAATGGAAGATTTGGGTGAACTGCATAACTTGTATGGATCTCTATCAATTCTAGAGTTGCAAAATGTGGTTGATAGAAGGGAATCTCTGAAGGCAAACATGAGGGAAAAGAAACATGTTGAAAGGTTATCTTTGCAGTGGAGTGGAAGTAATGCTGACAATTCACAAACTGAAAGAGAGATACTTGATGAGCTACAACCAAATACTAACATAAAAGAACTCCGAATCACTGGCTATAGAGGGACAAAATTTCCAAATTGGCTAGCTGATCATTCATTTCATAAGCTAATAGAATTGTCTCTTAGCGACTGCAAGGACTGTGATTCCTTGCCAGCACTAGGACAGCTTCCTTGTTTAAAATTCCTTACCATTAGAGGGATGCATCAAATAACAGAGGTGACTGAAGATTTCTATGGTAGTTTGTCCTCCACAAAGCCATTTAAGTCCCTTGAGGAGCTTGAATTCGCAGGGATGCCGGAGTGGAAGCAGTGGCATGTACTGGGGAAGGGAGAGTTCCCTGTACTTGAGGAACTTCGGCTTACTGGTTGCCCAAAGTTGATAGGGAAGTTGCCTGAAAATCTTTCTTCTCTGACTAGATTGAGAATATCAAAATGCCCTGAACTCAGTTTGGAGACACCCATTCAACTTGAAGGAATGAAACAGATTGTTGAATTACGTATTAGTGATTGTAAATCTGTTACCTCCTTAACTATTAGCATTCTGCCGAGTACCTTGAAGAGAATAATAATATCTTTTTGTGGGGAGCTGAAAATGGAGGGGTCGATGAATGCTATGTTTCTCAAGGAATTGTCTCTAGAAGAATGTGATTCACCTGAGTTGGTCCCAAGAGCACGCAATTTGAGTGTAAGAAGTTGCAACAACCTTACTAGGCTTTTGATTCCTACTGGCACTGAAACACTCAGTGTTAGAGATTGTGATAATCTTGAAATACTTTCAGTGGCATGTAGGACTCAGATGACATCATTGCATATTGAGAACTGCAAGAAGCTGAAGTCACTGCCAGAGCATATGCAGGAACTCCTTCCATCTCTTAAGAAACTGAAACTGTATCAATGTCCAAATATAGAGTCCTTTCCTGAAGGAGGATTGCCCTTCAATTTACAACAACTTTGGATCTCCTGGTGTAAGAAACTGGTGAATGGCCGAAAGGAGTGGCATTTACAGAGACTCCCCTGTCTCAGAGATTTAACCATCTACCATGATGGTACCGATCTTTCTGGTGAAAAATGGGAGTTCCCTTGCTCTATTCGAAGGCTTACTATATCCAATCTGAAAACATTAAGCAGCCAACTTCTAAAAAGCCTCACCTCTCTAGAGTACCTAAATGCTATTAATTTACCTCAAATTCAGTCACTGCTGGAAGAAGGGCTTCCCTCCTCTCTTTCTGAGCTACACTTACATCACCATCATAATCTCCATTCACTACCAACCGAAGGTCTTCAGCGTCTCACGTGGCTTCGGTGTCTAGAGATTTGGGATTGCCCTAATCTCCGATCTCTTCCCGAATCAGGGATGCCCTCTTCCCTCTCTAAGCTAACCATCCAACATTGCTCTAATCTCCAATCTCTTCCTGAATCGGGAATGCCCTCCTCCCTCTCTGTGCTGAACATTTCTAATTGCCTTAATCTCCGATCTCTTCCAGTAACAGGGATGCCCTCCTCTCTCTCTGAGCTGTGCATTCGGGATTGCTCTAATCTCAAATCTCTTCCCGAATCGGGGATGCCCCATTCCATCTCTAAACTATATATTTACAAATGCCCATTGCTCAAACCACTCCTACAATTTGACAAGGGAGATTACTGGCCAAAAATTGCTCATATTCCCACCATAGATATTGATTGGGAATACCAGTAATGATTAAAAAAAATTGTAAGTTATTTTTTCATTTATGTTTTTGTTTACTTCCCTTTACTTGCTTGTTAATTCTTTTCCTTTGTTAAATCCTTGAGCAGCACAAAGCGTCTATTGCCAATGTGAAGCTGAGGAATCATCTTTGGATCGGGATGAATTTAATTTTAGATGACAGCAAAAAAGGTGATAAAACAGAAGCTGGTATATGTAGGAATTGAAATTATTTGCTTCGGAAAGTTGATAGCTCAATTAATATAACGAACTAATAATCTTTTACCAGGAACATATATATCAGCCGGATGTTTAATGTCTTTGTAAATTCAATTCAACAGCAATTCATGTATTCTTGTTATAAATCTTACTTGAAAATATTTAGTTCTTGTATTGCTTGAACTTTCATCTGAATAGCACTTCATGTATTCTTCTTCTTCCCGTTTTTCAGCGCTTGGACCAAGGAGAATGGAGGTTTAGAGTAATGCACATGCTCACTCATAAATGCATAGCTCTAATAGAATTCAGAGGTATACAAGACACAAAGTTTGTTTCCTATCTCCGTTTTTCTGTTTACGTTCCTATTCCTTGTTTGTTAATTCTTCTTGTTTTTCTTAGTAGTGTTGAACAGTGTGGATCATCTATTGCCACTGTGTGGAGCGAAGCATTTTCATTCAACTATTAGATGACAAAAAGGTGATATGTTGCAACTATTGTAATCTTTAAACTTGCTCTGAGTCATTGTAAAAGAAACCGAGTGTAGGTGAGAATTGATAATTTGCCCTAGAAGGTTGATAGCACAAAGTAATGCTAATGTACTACAAATCTTTTACCATTTACATTGGTAGATATGGATCTTTATCACAATAGCTAAAACATCACTTTTGTCAGTATATCGATTTTTAGCACAATGGTTAAAACATCAGTTTCTTGTTTTGGATATTCAGAAATTTGGCTGAAGATATATACAGTAAGCTGATAACTTTGGAGATTATGAAGTTTCCGTCAAATTATTCCCATTAGTACTCATCCTCGAGTGCGACCTCAGAACTAGGGGAAAGGCAAGGAAGTGTATCCTACTTGGAATAAATTCAAGGTTAGATAACAAAAACGATTTACTCATGTTTCAGTTAACGAGATGCTTATATCGTAGTAGTAGTAGTAGTAGCTGACAGCATAACCTGTTCAACTTAACCATCTTTTTTCTTTCTTTCGTCAGTTGTGCCGAAATTCTCTACTGAATAGACAAATATCAGCTCAACTGTGATCTGTCCACAGAGTGTAGGTGAAGAAAGGTACTTTATCTTTTCTCTCGAATTTCACTTTTCTTTCATCAGTCTGAGAAGGAAATATTGAGTAAGGAGTTTTTCGCGTATGGTTTTATACTGCTCCAGTTCCATCTACAAAAGCAAGTGAGTGATCTCCAAGCACAATTGGCAAAGGCACAAGCTGAGATTGTCAACATGCAATGCCAACAAGCTCATCTGTTGGAACTAATTTGCATGGAAATGGTCCAATCTCCACAAGCAATATCACCACCACAACAATCTTTGGACAATTTCTCTCATAATATCCCTATGAGCTTCTTAGACGATGAAAACTTTGGATCAGTGTGGGAGGCCCTATGGACATGACGATTAAAGATCAAAACTCAAAATGCTCTCGGTGAAAGGAAACTGAATTGTAATTTAAATTGAGCCAAATCTTCAAAGATTTGTGTTAATGTTTATTCAGGTACTCTTTTTTCGTAATATGATTCTGATAAGAGCACATGAAACTGATTGGTCGTATGATCCGACCAGGTTATATATATAATGCTAATTTATGAGAAAAACAGATGGTGATGTTTGAAGATGCATTGAGGTGAATCTTAAGTATCCTATCTTGATTTAACTGATGCCATAGATGTTGACAGTGTATGTTGTTGATTGACATGGGAATATTTGAGGGCTGGTTTCCATTCAGGCAACTCAACTAATTAACATATTCCACCAAAAGAGTTTCAGTTGTGGACTGCGTAATCAGTGAAAAGTTCAATGTTTGTAGGCACAAGACTTGCCAAGTTTACCATTACTGCTTCTGGTGATGTTTCTTGCTGGAGGTCAAGCCCGACATAGCACAAACAGTTCCTTGTCTATTCAATGATTGGTCATCCAATTGTTAATATGTGCTTCACTGGTGATATTAGGAAAATCATTTTATGAGCTAAAAGAGATGTGTATTGTTTAAAGAGATCGGGATAAATTTAATTTTAAGATGAATAAAAAGAAGGTAACAAGAACACTATAGACAAAATCTGGTATAGGCAGGATTTGGAATTACATTTTTCAGTTGTTTAATCAATAGAAACTGTCTGTTACTTATTATAGTTTTCTACAATTCTCTTGTGAGTTCTAACATATTGAATTGTTGTAACTGATACCGTAAAACCAAACAATAAAAAGGTTATACAATTACAACAAATGATACAATCTATTCAAACACTCCAGCTTCAAGGTGCATCATTTTTTTTTATTAAACCATTTTATGAGTTCAGAATCCAATTTTATCCACCTATATATATCATTTCCTGATTATAATAGGAATTCACAAAAGAGCAGTAACTTCTCAAATTGAAATGAGCGTTAATATAGGGGAATGGATATAGAGGATTCATATAGTCAATGCCAACAGATTTAGGATTGAGGTTTACTTGATCGTGAAAATGGAGAATTATCATCTCCACTTGATGAGGATCTAAGAACCTAAGTTGCGCGGACTCTTCACTTTCAATGTCGTACCCCTGTCGGATTCTCCAAAAATACTTTACTTTTGGAGAATCTGACACACCACATTGACATTTTTGAAGAGTCCGAGCAACATAGCTAAACACAACGTTTTGTTTTGATTTTGGCAGAACTTTAGATTATTTGAAAAGGAGTAGCACTTACTCTTTAGATAACCTGCCAGTTATTTTCTCTAGAGTAGTTGGGTAATAAAATTATCATCGAGTTTCTAACTGCAGTGCATTTCATAAGTAATGCTGATGAATCTTGTCACTTTTTGAATCTCTAGAGTAGTTGGGTAATAAAATTGTCATCTTCTATCTGTATTTGTGCCTTTTTTTGGTATGACAATTTAAAGCTCGAAAATCAGCACTGAATTGCATCAGAGATGTCGTTAAAACTATTCTAGATTGTGATTCAGCATCAGCCGCTGAGATTGTATCAGGATTGATTTGCATCAGAGATTATTGGCATAGGTTCATTCATCATTAAAAAATGCTTATGAACTACTTCCTCCGTCCCTATTTAGTTGTCCACTTTAGAAATGACACACAGATTAAGGCAACAATGATTAGCATAGTGAAGTTACAATTTTACCCTTATAGTACAATTTACAATTCCAAAATAAATTCACTCAAGATAACTAATAAATGCTGGGAAGTTCATAAGTTTATTTACTTTATTTATGACAACTTTTCACTTTAAAATTACAGCCACTTATTTGAATTCAACTGAAATAAATTGGAGGGAAACAACATACACTTTTACAATTAGAAATTTTCAAGAAGTTTAGATAAGGGTATAATAGGAAAAATTTGTTGTCCTTTCTTGATTTGTCAAAATGGACAACTAAAAGAGGAAATATGGACAACTAAATAGGAACGGAGGGAGTATGACATAGTCAAACTTTTTCACTCGACAGTTAGTTCCAGAATCACTTTTGTAGTGAAATAATATGTCGATTGGGGAAGAGTTGTTACACTTGTTGGGTTTATAGCAAGAGTTAATGGGAAATGAAGGGAAGATGAAAAGAGAGGAACTTGAAAAGTCCTCTTATGCTTTAGTAAAAAAAGGCATTTCTCCCTCATCGGTGGTGGAAGGAAAAATAGAAGAGTTTAAATATAGAAACACTTCTATTAATTGTTAAAAGGGTTGGAAAGAGGGACCCCCCTCGCGCCGTTATCGTCGTCGCTCGCTTGGCTTTGGCTTTGAAAAATGATCAATCGAGAGATTATTTTTGAGACAAAGTTTGTTTTAATTAGTTAGTTAATTATTTATTTAATTAGTTAAATGGCCAAAATGTTTCAATTAATTAGTTAATTAACCGAAATGTTCCGACACCCATTTTATTTAAACTTTCACGTTTTATTTAAATTTCCCGCCATTGGAAATGACTATTCTGAAAGGTTGCAACTTTCAGGAACAGTCACGACCGTTTGAAAGGTTGCAAACTTTCATTAATGGCCGTGTGGATTCTGAAAGGTTGCAACCTTTCGGAATCAGTTCCTCTTGGTTATAAATACCAGTTATTCTTTAGAATTTTTTACTTACAAAAAATTCTGATTTCTTCTTCTTTTTCTGCACAAATATTTTTTGTGTGCTTTACTGCCGTTGAGTGGCTCGCTGACACCAGCGATTTGGGTATCAATATACTGGTGATTGAGATCATTCTATCCTGGGAGAACATATTCCAAATCAAACCTCGGATACTGGAGAATAATTTCCTTAAGGGGACACTGTGCATTCAGTGGGCTTGATCTTTTTCCATTATGTCTTTTCAGATTCTGGTATGCTTTACAGATTTTAATTTTTTTGAATTAATTTATGTTCTTCTGTTCTTCATTGGTTCATTGGAAACTTTGGTAACTTCGTATTTCTGCAAAGTTTCTAGTAATCAGTATTACTGTTTTTAAACACAGATTGGCAACAATCTTAAGGATATTATTTATTTATTTAATCTGTGTTACTGGTGGAGACAAAAACCTTCGTGGTTTTACACTCTTGTTAAGTTTGCAATTTAAGTTATTGCTTACTGAGTCATTTGTATCAATTTTTGTTTGTTACAGATTCTGAAATGGCAAATGATAATGTTACGGTGGTTGGGGCATCAACTCGAACTGCTGTACCATCAACAGAGAAACTGGGAAAATTCCCTGGTGTGAATTTCAAAGGATGGCAGCAACGAATATTTTTCTGGCTTACCACTCTTGGTCTGTAGAAATTTACCAATGAAGTAACTCCAGTGCC